GAAAGGATATTTTTGTCAACTTATACAAGTTGATGAGAGAGAACTAATTATATACTTATCAATGCTATATTCTTAATTTTTCAGTCAACTGAGTATAAAAATTTAATTTACCCTTTTTTCTTTCAGTATGAGACAACCTTATTAATGGCAAATCTTGAATTTCCTTATTTAATTGCAAGATTAAATATAAAACTTACACGATTTTTATACACAGCTTGACAACTAGGTTTCGTAGACAATGTGTATATATAATGTATATTGTGACATTTGTTTTCCAACAATAAATGGTGAAATGGTCTTAAGACTCGTTCTTATAGAATAAGATCCATGACTAAAGTAGAAACTTTAAAAAAAAAGTACTACAACCATGGATCAAACTTAGATTAGGTGATGGAGGAACTTATATGATCGAATATATAATATAAACCACTAACTTAATTATGTTCTACCTATATATATATACTTCGTATAGTCTAATTAACTACTTGCTTTTGCTTTTTATAGTTCATTAAGAATCAAATTATAATTAGTGGCTGGGTCACACATCTACCCCTTGTTTAAACTTTAAACTATATACTAATTAATTTCTTAATTATAATATAAACGTAATCAGGAGTCAGGGCCTGACATGAGAACAAGCACCCACCACTAGCGTGTCAGAGTGCGTGACACGTGTCGAATTCTGAACTAATATTCAAACTCACTAAGTGACATTTCTCCACCACTACTACCAGTCTACGACACATATCGAACTAAAATAGTTACCTCAGTTTTTGTAATAATCACAAATTATTATTTACTACTACCGTATACTATACAGTATTATACTTCTTTATATTGTAATTTTCTGAAATTCAAATACGGCTAGACCAATGAAATAGATTCGCATACTTTTAAAACTTACTATACCATTTTTATACATTTAACTATATCAGAATAACGTATATATATATATATATATATATATATGTATTATACACAATTATGATCATATTCTTGAATCTTAATATATATAATATAAGCAAGTTGGTGGCAAAAAGAGCTAGGTGCCATCGGAGAGGATGCGCACCAAAGATTTCTTCTAAGAAAGATTAGTAAAAACAAAGTATCTTAAGCAATTAAATTAATAATCAGAACAAAAATTTTGAAAAGAAGAGAAAGAAAAGGCAAAGACTGTCTTGGCTCCACTTGGAGTCCACACTTAGAAAAACAAAAAAGATCAAATGCTATGCGAAGATCTGAAATAGTACACACACTATTTATATAAAAATATATATATAGAGATATGTCATCATGTATATATTATAATAATAATAATATATAGTTACTGCGTATTTGTTAGTTTAATATACTCTGAAGATAATTAGATGCTCTTTTCTTTATATTATCTGTGATTTAACTCAACGTATAAAGCGATCGAGCCATCGGTGGTTTATGCGTTTTTAATATCATCAAACTCTAAAAAAAATTGTTTGTTACTTTGGAATCATGAATTAGCCGTTCGTGTGTGTATATATATATTTATAATATAACGAATTAAGATGAATAATTCTGTAACAGAGAGTCTTTCTAAGTCTTCTATATGGTACTGTATATTAGAATATAAATTACTCGAATATGCTATATACTAAATTAGGATTTTTTATATATATATATTGATGGTATCTCATTTTGAGGATTCGGGGGTAGGGGAGAAAAAAATATGTTATTATTTATTTTTATTTTTATTTGGGTTAAAGGGTTAAACGAATGAAGTTTAAACTTGAAAGTGAAAGGATATGTCTCTTTCACCAAGATTTTGTTAAACGAAAAAGGAAGTATTTATAGTTATATATATATATATATATATATTTGATTTAATCTTACATATGTTGTGCAAAACGATTATAGCTCTAGCTAGGGTTTATATTACATGTTGTGCAAAACGATTATTATTATGTTTGGAAATAATTACATAATGTTCTTAGCCTTACGTACATGATTCATATGAAGCTTTTAAGATCTCAAAGGTTAAAATCCATTTAAATCAAGAGTCTTCACAACTATGATTGATTTTTGAAACCTTATTTTTTTTCTTACACCTTAACGTCTTCCTCTGTTAGTAACTAAAACAACAAATTTATAATTTAAAATCTAAAAGTTACAAATTCTGATGTCTACATATATACTTTTATTTGAACATATACAGTACGTATAAGTATTCAACAATCACTCCGCCCATAAATAAAAAAAGTTCTGCTCGTGCCCAAATGAATATCTTAAATACTAGACTTATTATTTTATTTTTTTTTGTCATCTACTTATTTTTATTTTATATATCTAAAATACTAGTTCAAAACATGATATTATAAGTTTCACCCATATGAACGAACATTAAACTCTTAATTAGTTGCTTTCATATTTGACGACGAAAAAAGATATAAAAATTCCGGTATCAATCCTCTAATATTCAAATAATATCTAGTCTTATATTCGGATTCATGCAAAGTTATACAAGCAAGTGGGTACGTATTATATTATACTTGTAGAAATGCCATTACATATGAATTACATAACTAATTAAAGCATCCGAATTTTTTTAAATCGGAGAGCTTTCCACGCGAGGGAATCAAGATGAGGAGGATCGTATTCTAACTCTCATCTTACACCATAAGTAAATCTCCTTTTCCAAATCTAATTCTGATCAATCTTCCTATATATATTATAGAATTTAATATGGACAATACATATATTTTCTAATGGGAATTATTCTTATGGGATAATGTAAAAGAAAAGGAAAAAAAAAATCAAATTCGCAATGCTCGTAAACGCAACGCGACATCTCTAAACAAAACAAATTAGTACACTACATGTATCTTCAGTAGTTTATTCTGCATAAAGCTTTGACCTTACAAATATTATAGCCCTAACCAAAGAATAGTGACTGCAACCTCAGCTGAAAAGACAACACGGAATATAGCATAAAATATGATATATCAAAGTTATGGTTATATAATTATAATGGAGAAATAAAATTGCAGAAATAGTAATTAACTGAATCATATAATTTAGTTGGAATAACTTGGAGACCAAATTAAAGGTATCAAAATGAATTGTAACGAAATAACCGTCGTATTATAAAATATAATGATATCCATAGTAACATACAGAAACTTAACATGCAAATTTTACTACTAAACACACATCGTAGAGAGTATGATGGTAATTAACTTCAAGCTCGTCCAAGGCTGTTCAGAGACTGTGTTCTTTACGATTTCCGTAAATGGCTGTAATATCTGACTCATTTAGGAGTTTCTTTTGTCCAAAACAATCTGTTTTTAACTATAATAGAATACCCTTATCGAACAAAACAAAAAACATGCAATTATGTCTCTCAGTTGAACTGGTCGGCTCCTAATAATATTCATGCAATGAACCTCTAGAAAACAGTCACGAACCAAAGATTTAGTATGTTATCCTTATTTATAAATAATGACAAGTGTGAATAAATTTTATGGAGCAAAAGAAAATTTGGATAGTTTTAGAAGTATTATATATTAAAAATTTTAAAATAGTCTCTTAAGGCTATTTTCTATACATTAAAAGGTCAAGAGATAAATAATGCACAAAACATAGAGAATAATAGAATACAATTTTAAAAATAACAAGAGAATAAACTAATAAAAGATACAAAGAAGGAATGTGTTTTTATAATATTCTCATTTTCTGCAATTAGTAAAAAGAAAACTTATAATATAGCTCCACATGCCCCTATTGTTCTGTGTGTTGGCTCTTTGTATTCAGTGGCCAATAAGGTACTATTTGCAAGAATCAGATCCTTTTTCTTAGTCCACATATGACTCCTCCAAGTCGATTTAACCCCGAAACTACTAGTTGCGTCGTTATATATCTAAGATTGCTTCCAAATTTTTGTAATGAAATCTATAATTAGTTATTACTAGTTGTACGAGTATTTGAACCATGCATCAATAATTAACAATATTTTGTAGTTATTAAATGAAAGTTTACAATTGAGACTGCGCGTAATTAGACTAGTATACTTAATATAAAATTATGTATTCTAAAAATAGTATGATGAGAAAGTTAGTGTAACGTATATATATTATTTAAGTTCAAATAACAGTAATTAACAAACATACGTATGTGAGAGCTACGTGAAACTAAACAAGGGGTTTTATCCAAACCTCAAGTTGTTTTGTTTTTCTTCTTAATTTGCAAAATCAACCAAAATAAATCTTGCTAAATTTGTTTGAGGTAATATTTATAATAACTAACAAGTAGTGATATATAACTAATTTTTTTAAATGAGAATTTAAAATCTTGTGTTTTTCTAAAGCTTGTAATAATAATAGGAGTAAAATAATTATATAAAAATACATTTGCATATTAATTATCTATGTGATATATATAAAGTATATAATCTGTCTTTACATAAATTATTAAGCACTATTACCACTATAATACGTAAGTGAAGTGATTATAAAATTATGTTTATATCTTAGTAATGGCCAATGGTATAACACTAGGCCGTGACTCCTTGTGGTCGCAAGTTTCAAGCATGGGAATCAAGCAGACGAACAGGCCTATCGGTTAGCATGATATTTGTCGGAGTCCGAACACACTAAATGTTTGGATCGCATTGGCAAATCTAATTGGTATGTAATCGTCAAAAATATTGTTATTGAATGGTCGATCCAAGTTCGTCCTCTTTAGCCGTTATTACCAAAGACTACCTACGAATCTAGTAACCAATGAATGAGCTTAGAATTTCAAATAAACAAAATGTAAAATAAAATAGATAAATAAAGTAATGTGACGTTGGAAAAGAGATGCCTATAGAGAGAGTGTCAACTTCTGTCTGAAAATGTATCCCATTCTGTTAAAATAACAACAATAACAACGTGCGAAGATACTTTGTCTTTTTATATTTTGGATGATGGAGAATTCACTAGAGGTTAAACTTAAGCATGATCATTCTAATATGTCTCTATCCATACATTTTAACCAAACACATACAGAATTTCTCTACCAAACGAACTTGCCCCCTTACTGGATTTTAGTCGTCGTCGCCGGATAAGACAGATTATTTATGGTTTCGAATTCGAGCAATCGCATATATAAATCTCTGGTGTTTAGACAAGAATAGTGGTACAAGATTCTCAGGCTATCACAAGAATATGATATGACCTTTGGTTTTGTCGCGGGCATGCTGCAACTTTTTCATGTATGATATGAACAAACGCCTACAAGATATGTCGAACCGAAAGACATGAGACAGAGACACTATACAAGAATCATAAAACTGTCCTTGTGATGCGCAATTTTGAGTGTTTTTTTTTTGCATATGGATAAGTGTACTTAATGACCAGATCACTAGATCTATTTACTATTTATATGGTGTGCTGTTTTTTTTTTGTTTAGGTAGAAATGATTTCTTGAGGAAACAAAGTGTTCCACATGCAGACAACATCAGCACATGAAAGCTTGATAATGCAGAGATATATCAAATGGGTATGAGATGCCATGTGAGTTATCTCTAAAAATAAATATTGCCAAGGATTATAAGATATTATAAGTCTTTTAAAGATTTAGAGGATCTTCCCACTTGGATCGGTTGTGATATAGGCAAGTTTCCGAGTTCTAAAATGGTGGAGAGCATAATTATTGGTCATGTATAATGCAAAAGCCGCAAAGTCTCTTCCTTTTCATTACCACTTTTTGTTTTATGTAAAAATGTAAATCATCTTGTGTGAAAGAAACAAGTTACCAAGTCGAATAGTAGAAGGCGTCTTAGAACTTATGCTTTGGGAACCTTTTTTCAAATCTTTGCTAATGCTAACGAGACCTGTGTCACTCTGCGACAATCTGCAATCACATCAAACGGTTAAGAGCTTTGGAGAACCTAAACAACAGCTGATGAGTTATCAATAGAAACAACTTTGTCTAAAGCGACAGTTCAGATTATTAGAATCCACAGGAGTCAAGACTCAAAGAGAGTAGCTTTATTTAATCTATTTGGAATTAGAGGTAAGATTCTGATAATTGGAACAAAGGAAGAGATAGGTATAAATATTTGGTAAAGGAGTTAGCTTTAGAATAAATTAACCAAAGGGAGGTGTGAGAGAGCAAGGTGGGAACCCACCATATAGACGATTGATCGGCCAACATCGTAAAGAAAGCCTTTTCTTTTGCTGTCTCTCTCTCTCTCTTCCTCTTTCTGTTCTTGCAAATACAGAGGAGTAATATTAGTGTGTGAGGGTGGTTTCCATACTACTATATATTCATGTGCTCACATGGTTTCCCTTTGAGGGAGATCAAGAAGAAAGTTACCAAAGCCAAAGCCACTTGCTTTTGAAGCTTTCTTACCTTTGTTTGTTTACTTCTAATACCATTAGGACCATTGAGAGCTTTCTATAAGAGCCTTCACGACGGCTGTAACAGTTACAACTACAAGGACGAAGACGAGTAGAGAAACTGGTTCAGGAGTCATCATGCCTCAGAACTGCATAGCACCAAGGCCTGAAGAAGATGGTGGAGGCATGGTACAAGGTTTGACAGACATGTCAGAAACGCAGAGCAAATCTGTACTAGCCTTCCCCATAGTCACTTCACAACCTGGTCTCCAGCTGTCCATGTACCCCATAACTCTCAAGGTGTGTGCCTCTCTCTCTCTCTCTTGTTCACTTCTTGTTTTAATGTTATGTAAAGCTTTTGAGTTTTACCTGCAACAAATCTCATCAGAAGTATTCCTTTCCCTTCTTCCTCTAGCTTGGTAGTTTGATCAAAAAACGCGACATCATTCTAATGATATATATCCATTGGTTGCTTTGTGGTTGTACAGTTTGAGGAGGTTGTGTACAAGGTTAAGATAGAGCAGACAAGTCAGTGTTTGGGATCATGGAAAAGCAAAGAGAAGACGATTCTGAACGGGATAACAGGAATGGTTTGTCCAGGAGAGATTCTAGCCATGTTAGGTCCCTCAGGCAGTGGCAAAACCACTCTTCTCTCAGCTCTTGGGGGCCGCCTCTCCAAAACTTTCTCAGGTAAAGTCATGTACAACGGTCAGCCTTTTTCCGGCTGCATCAAGCGCAGAACAGGGTTTGTTGCTCAGGATGATGTCCTGTACCCGCACCTCACGGTTTGGGAGACTCTCTTCTTTACTGCACTTCTACGGCTACCAAGTAGCTTGACCAGAGACGAGAAGGCTGAGCATGTGGACCGAGTTATCGCTGAACTCGGATTGAATCGGTGTACAAACAGCATGATAGGAGGACCATTGTTCAGAGGAATATCAGGAGGTGAGAAAAAAAGGGTTAGCATTGGTCAAGAAATGCTGATCAATCCTAGCTTGCTCCTTCTTGATGAACCCACTTCAGGTCTTGATTCGACCACTGCTCACCGCATTATAACCACAATCAAACGGCTAGCTTCTGGAGGAAGAACAGTCGTCACCACCATTCATCAGCCATCAAGCCGCATATACCATATGTTTGACAAGGTGGTTTTGCTCTCTGAAGGAAGTCCCATCTACTATGGCCCTGCATCTTCTGCTATGGAATATTTCACTTCTCTTGGATTCTCTACTTCTATGATAGTTAACCCAGCTGACCTTTTACTTGACCTTGCAAACGGTAAGCGACCTCTCTCTCTTTAAGCTTCAAGATGACTGATAAATGAAAATAAGAAAGCCTTTTTAATTCATCAATACTTGGCAAACCTCAGGAATCCCACCTGATTGTCAGAAGGAGACCACAGAACAAGAACAGAAGACAGTAAAAGAAACCCTTGTTTCAGCTTATGAGAAGAACATTTCTACTAAACTGAAAGCTGAACTCTGCAATGCGGAATCCCATAGCTATGAGTACACCAAAGCTGCTGGTAATTTTCGCTTTCTAAAGTACTCTTTTTTAATTCTGTTTTTACTCCTCTACATCAATTATAGTCTGACTTATCTATCCTTTAAATGGAGCAGCCAAAAATCTCAAGTCAGAACAATGGTGCACAACTTGGTGGTACCAGTTCACTGTATTGCTCCAAAGAGGAGTCAGAGAGAGGAGATTCGAATCTTTCAATAAGCTCAGGATATTCCAAGTCATCAGTGTAGCTTTTCTTGGTGGCCTTCTATGGTGGCATACTCCAAAATCTCACATCCAAGATAGAGTAAGGCTCTTCTTCTTGATTCTAATAATCATCATGATTTATCACTACACTTCTTCCCATCACAGTCAAACTAACACTGCACATCAGTATTCTAACCACCATTATATATTTATCCTGAATGCAGACTGCCTTGCTCTTCTTCTTCTCAGTCTTTTGGGGTTTCTACCCACTATACAACGCAGTTTTCACATTTCCTCAAGAGAAAAGAATGCTAATCAAGGAACGTTCTTCGGGAATGTACCGTCTTTCCTCCTATTTCATGGCTAGAAACGTTGGGGACCTGCCCTTGGAACTTGCCCTTCCAACTGCTTTTGTGTTCATAATTTACTGGATGGGTGGACTTAAACCAGACCCAACAACGTTTATCCTCTCACTACTGGTTGTTCTATATTCCGTCCTAGTTGCTCAAGGTCTTGGCTTAGCCTTCGGCGCTCTGCTTATGAACATCAAGCAAGCCACAACGTTAGCATCTGTTACTACCCTCGTGTTCCTCATAGCTGGAGGGTACTACGTGCAGCAAATCCCACCCTTCATCGTTTGGCTCAAGTACTTAAGCTATAGCTACTACTGCTACAAGCTGCTTTTGGGTATACAATACACTGATGACGACTACTATGAGTGTTCAAAAGGAGTCTGGTGCAGAGTTGGAGATTTTCCAGCAATCAAGTCAATGGGACTGAACAATTTGTGGATCGACGTGTTTGTCATGGGAGTGATGTTGGTCGGTTATCGACTCATAGCATATATGGCACTGCATCGAGTGAAGTTGAGGTAACACCAAAGAAGCTCCAAAGAAAATTTTCCCCCCACTGCAACCAAGGAATAATATTAGTATTAGAAAAAAAAGATAAAAAAAGGTCGTCGAATTTTGGTCGATTTTACTTAAGTATCCGAGATATATATCCGACGACTCTCTTTTTTATTTTAGGCTTAGATGATAATTACTCCTAAGTTTGAGAATAAAACAGTGAGATTATAATGATATTGTATGATATAAGAAGGGAAGCCAAGAATATACTAAATCCCATTTGCAAAAATAGTGTGACGAAAGTGACTGAACTTTCGGCCCACTCTTCTGTGGAGATGATTGTTGTATCTTTTGTGGGGTTCCTTAAAAAAAGAAAAGGTCTACTCTAATCTCTACACATTACTAGTCATCACCTGCAAGTGCAAGTGCTTCAACTGGTGAAATCAATGAAATGTATGTATCAGATAAGAATTCAAAACAACTTGCTGATAATAAGACTAACAACGACAGGACATAAGCAAACACACCTGACCGTGGTGGCTCTCATTGTCATCTAAACTTCTTTTACTACTGGCACTTTGGTGTTTCCTTACCACACATTATTAAACTACAAAACAAATAAAGCAGACTTTTTTAACTGCAGAATTATGTCAACAGAGCTACAGGAATGTGCTTTCGCTTTCATATAAAAAAAAAAAAAACGAATAATTGAAACTTTAAATGGCTGTTATAACTTCAAATCGTTAGCTACACAATAATTAAAACCAAAAGCAGAAGTGGGGAGGCTACAGTGTGTGCAGAACAACATAGAGGATGCAAATCATTGGATGACAAGGCCCACAAGATATGCTTACACAACAAAACGTGATTCACTTTAGTCTAAGTGGAAGCTGATGCAAGAAAAAGACATCACAAAGAGAAATCCATGTCACTCTCTACTTTCTCAAGTGTCATTGTCATCACCAAGAAGAACCATCTTAAACCCCCAAGTAAAAAACTCGAAACGTCATTCACTAACTTGTGTTGCTTTCTCAGACCTAAATACATCATCCTCTGTACTAGTGGTATACATACATACGAAAGCAAGAAGAAGATCACATGATCTAATCATGCTCTTTTCACACCCCTTTATACCATTTATAATAAGTACACTAGTTGCTGTTTTTAGTGTACTAAAACTAAGTTAATTTGACCATAAGCCTCTTTAACCTTAACAAAGATAACATAAACTAACCAGAGAGGATGACAAAATGAAATCTCTTAAGTCATCATATACATTAACCAAATATCTGAAACTCCTTGTCACTTACCATTTCAGTGAACAAGATGTGACTCACCTGCTCACCATACCAATCTAGCCGTATTATATCCTCATTGGTACGCATGAATCTCTACCAAGAGAGGTGACGGTGACGGTGACGCACCCGGAGACGAAGGGCTCTGTGACCGACCGGAATAAGATTAAAACCACGTCGTTTCGTCGCCTAAGATAAAAAGTTAAATCATATATTGCATATTAACCCTTACATTTTAGATACAATTTTGTAAGCCCAATTAGGCCCATATGTAAATAATTAAAAGGCCCAATACAATTATAAAGTTCTTCTCTCCAAGTTTTTCTCCGTTTGTCTGTTGTTAGGGTTGTAGCTTCTTCTTCTCTTGTCGTTGTTTGTTTCGCTTCTCGGAAAAAAAAAATGGCGGCAATTTCTAGGGTTTTTGGAGGGTTCAGGACACTGATGGCGAAGGCGGCGACTGCTGAGGCCGTTACCGTCGCCGTAGAAGGAAAAGGGATTTTAAAGACTTTCCCAGTCTCGCAGCAGCTGGCTAGCTTCGCCGGAGAAAGCGAACTCACTCGTGGTTCCGCCGTGAAGAAGGTTTGGGAGTATATTAAGCTTCACAATCTCCAGGTTTGTTGATTTCGGAGATTTCTTGTTTTTTGTTTAGATCTCTGTTACTTGTTTATGAACTTAGGGATTTGGTTGCTTTATAGACTTTAGTGATTGTAGAGAACGGATTGTTGCATGTAGATAGAATCGATTAAGCATTTGTATTTGGGATTTCTAAGGGAGATGAGTTTATTGTTATGTTAGAACAGGGTTTTTTGAGAATGGATTGTTTTGGTGTGATTATGCATTTGGAGAACTTGGAAGGTATTGCTCTTTTTGAGTTTTGGAGTTCTCTGTTGTTGTGGAGGTTGTGTTCGTTTGAATGGTGGAACATTGTGTTTGGTTGGGTTAAACTTAAGTGTCTGATATGTTGGAGAACCTGAAAGATTTGATCTTTTGAGTCTAATTTCATGGAGAGCTTTGAGTTCTTTTGACTGGTAGAACAATGTGTTGTGGTTGAGTATCTCTAATCATAAGCTGGGAGTATAGTTAGATTTGGTCTGTGTTAAATGCAAAAAGAGGCAGCTTTTGACCATAAACTTGTCTGGTTTGGTCTTTTGGATTAGTCATCGCTCTGTTAAAGATTGTGATTCATTGCTAAAGCATTTGTTTCGTTGTAGAATCCTGCGAACAAGAGGGAGATACACTGCGATGATAAGCTAAAGACGATTTTCGGTGGCAAAGACAAAGTTGGAATGACAGAGATCATGAAGCTTCTGTCACCACATTTTACTAAATCTGTTTGATTTGGTGTTGGTTTATCTAACGTAGTATCTCAAATCTTAAATATGGTTTGGCTTTTTCTGGTTCATTTCGGGATGTATATGAAAAACTCTCAAGACCCGAATGAGCTTTTGGTAATGTTAACAAGACCCGGAGAATATGATGTAGTTTGACAATTTTATCGGAAATATCGTCTCTGTAATAGTAGTTTCGATATCGATGTCTTTAAGGCTTCCTTACTCATCTTTGTATGTTGCGTCGCCACTAAATTAGTTACGCATCGTGTGAGCAACCAATTTGGTTATATGTTTATTGCAAATGAATGAATGGTGACAACTATTTTATTATTTGATGGAGATGAAACGTGTCATGATCAGTGGAGGAAGAAGGATGTGTTGTTAAAACGAGCATGCATCAACGCGTCCATTTCGCTTTTAAATCAATAGCAAAGAGCCTTTTTCGCTACACATACCATTATACCAAGACGTACACACAAATCTGTATCTAAACGTAGCATAGTATATAGTTTATTTTACCATATCTTGTATGATCCTTGACCTTCTCTCTCTCTCTCTATTCAATATTCATATCATCTTATATCTCAAGTTCTTGATTTTGAATCTTTAATTAAAGATGGGTAAAGACAAGCACCATGAACAAGACAAAGGATTCTTCTCACATCATAATCATCACGGACATGGGTATCCGCCTGGAGCTTATCCTCCTCCACCACCGGGAGCTTATCCTCCACCGGGAGCTTACCCTCCACAAGGTTACCCTCCACCGGGAGCTTACCCTCCACAAGGCTATCCACCCGGCGCTTATCCACCTCCTCCTGGCGCTTATCCTCCTGCCGGTTATCCCGGACCGTCCGGTCCACGGCCAGGTTTGATTTTTCTCTAATCTAGATGTTGTCTTCTATTGGTATTAACAAATTAGTTCGACCGGTGTATGTATTGGGTGAAGTCTTCTTATATTGTGTATTCTCAAAAATATGATGAGAAGACTAAATGCTTTGAAGAGATGCATATGATATTACCTAATCATGGTGCATCCAAAAAAATAGCTTGTTCATTAGATTATAACGTTTGTATTTAGTTAGAAACATCGAATGAATGTGGGTTTGGTCCGATGTTCTTTTTTGTCAACATTGGCTTTGGTTTAGTTTAGTTTGGTTCGGTCCGTTCACATACAAGTTAACTACTTTTAACTGAATGTTGTTATCATGTGAATAGGTCTTGCAGGAGGAGTCGGGGGACTAATAGCAGGAGCGGCAACAGCTGCCGCGGCCGCAATGGGAGGTCACCACGCAGGTCATCACGGAGGTTACGGCCACGGAAAATACAAAAGAGGGTTCTTCGGAGGTGGCAAGTACAAGCGAGGGAAGCACAGTATGTTCGGAGGTGGTAAGTACAAGCGTGGTAAGCACGGCATGTTCGGAGGCAAACGAGGCAAGCATGGCATGTTCGGACGAAGGAAGTGGAAATGATTCATATATATCTCATTCATCTCTACATATATTATCGTATATAACATCTTTATATATTAAGCTTAATATATATTTATATATTTAAGGGTCATGTCACATGTGTGTGTGTGTTATTTTGTTTGTTTATATGTTATCTATGAAACTCGTTAATTTAGTTAAGTTATGGTTATGAATGCTAAAAGTTGAGATGCTGTACAATTTGTGTATATATTTGGTCAGTTTAATATAAGTTTTGAGAAATTAATTTTGGATTAATTTGGAGACTTGATATTTTGTCTTTTGTGTAATGTTTGGAATAACATTTTTTCGACGAAGAGAAGACGTATCCAAAATTACTTGATCAAATCATACACTTAATTTTTTTCGGACGTGAACAACAGAAATTATAAACTGATCTTATCCTTTTTTTATGATAAAATTAATTGATCTTATCTAAGACTGTCGAAACAAGATAATATCTTCTCTAATGAAGATAAAATTAACAGTATTTTAGATAAATTGTATTTATCTTGTACCAAAATGTAACAATTTAAGATAAATCTTTATCCAAATTGTAAGATAAACAAAGGATAGTCAAACAAGTTTAGAATTGGGATAATGAGTGATAAGTAATAAAATCGGTTGGAATTTGGATAATGAGTAGTATACTTTTCAAAAAAAAAAAGAAAAAAAAAAACTAATTAACTTTAACATAGGAATAATAAAGTGATTTCAAAATTTAAATTATTTCTTAATCAGTAAATAAACGGATAAATGAATCCCGCAAAATAGGGATATTGAGCTGATTTTAAACAAACAACACTAATGAAAATGTTTTTTTTTGAATAAAAATCATTAATATCCATTTATCTGAAAAAATTAATAGGTAATTAGGTAATTAGATTTGGCGAGCTATTAAAAAAATGGGGATAATTAGTTTCTCAATAAGACACAATGGGGATATCGAACTGAATTTTTAAATTAAAAATGTTATACTTAAACAAAACGAGGCTACTAATCCATTTCTTTAATATTTTTGTTGTGAATTGTGAATAAATCCGATCAATATCCAAACAACTAAAAATTATTATATTTCAAACAAAATCTTTACGTCAAGATTTTATTCTATGCCTATATATAGCATTGTTCTTCGACACAAGTAAAAAACTATTCTACAAAACAACGATGGTTTCTTTAAGGTTTCTTTTGTGTTTTCTCTTCATAAGTGGATGTGCTGCCACAATTGTCTCTCACGATGGCCGAGCCATCACCATTGATGGTCATCGTCGAATTCTTCTCTCTGGTTCTATTCACTACCCTAGAAGCACCCCTGAGGTAATTTACATATATCAACATATGTTAGTGGTTAATTAATCCATTATGGTTTTAGTGTTATTGTTATAATTAACTACATTTGTTTAATTTGTTGATATGTTTTCACTTGTAGATGTGGCCGGATCTTATAAAGAAGGGCAAAGAAGGAGGTCTTGATGCGATCGAGACTTATGTGTTTTGGAATGCACATGAACCTACTCGTCGTCAATATGATTTCTCTGGAAATCTAGATCTTATTCGTTTCTTAAAAACCATTCAAGATCAAGGATTGTATGGAGTTCTTCGTATTGGACCATATGTTTGTGCAGAGTGGAACTACGGGTAATATAATATAAACTCTTGATTTTACTATTTAATTCCATGTGTGTTTTAATTAGATTCATTTAGTTCATTTTGATTCTAGATGTGTTCTATATTTCTAGAATAAGCATGTTTTTATTGTTTTTGTTATGTAGTCATATGTGATCGTTTGATGTATTTTAAATTTGATGTATTGTTTAAAGAAAAATCACAAACCAAACACCTAATGGCTTCGATTAATAAAACTGTGGATGTTTGAAATTCAAATAATCAGTGATTTTGTTTACCATATCAATTAGAATTTAGAGATAAAATCAATGAGGATGGCTTATTTATTTTTAATTCAGTAATTTTCTTGAAAAAAAGTTCAATATTTTTTAAACAGTAGTTATAATATAAACGATTTAGTATCAAAATGAGTTTGCTATCTTCCTATAACATAAGCATTTCTATGCTACTAGCTCCATTAATTTTTTTATGGTGATATTTTCTATAGTTTTTTTTTCTATATAAATAGTTTATATCAATTCATATCTCCTTCGACTAATTTTGAATTTTTTTCTAATCATTTAAAATAGAGGGTTTCCAGTGTGGCTGCATAACATGCCCGGAATGGAATTCAGAACTACTAATACCGCGTTTATGGTAATCTACATTCAATAATCATTTATCAAATATTATAAATAATATTGTGGCTTTAATTAATAACATATGGTCATTTATATGCAGAATGAGATGCAAAATTTTACAACTATGATAGTAGAAATGGTCAAGAAAGAGAAGCTATTTGCATCACAAGGAGGTCCAATTATCCTTGCTCAAGTAATTAATTCCCGAGACTATTATGATATACAATCTTTTGTTTCTATATCTAAAATACTATTATTGCATATATTGTGCGTCTCTCATATGTTTTTCTTCTAGAATTTGTTGAAGTTTGTTGCATGTAATTCTTTTCTTACTTGCAGATTGAAAATGAGTATGGAAATGTGATTGGCTCATATGGAGCTTCTGGTAAGGCATACATTCAGTGGTGTGCAAACATGGCTCAATCTCTTGATATTGGTGTTCCATGGATTATGTGTCAGCAAGATGATGCTCCTCAACCTATGGTAATTAGATGAGTTAAACTTAACATTTTCACTATATTAATTTATACATTTACAAAGACTTATTTTTTGTAAATTATTTGATTTTATAGTTGAATACATGCAATGGTTATTATTGCGACAACTTTGAACCAAACAACCCCAACACTCCTAAAATGTGGACGGAGAATTGGACCGGATGGTTAGTGTTTTTTATCGTTGTTATTATTTATTATTGCAAAATCAAATTTAAAAAATCCTTATATTTTGAAGAATTTTCAATATACTTTTTATATAACCTGAATCAAATTTCATTGACCATAATACGTCCTCTAGATTTGTAGGTTTAATATATTTTTTTACTTTTTATTTTTGTAGGTTTAAGAATTGGGGAAGCAAAGACCCTCACAGAACATCCGAAGATGTTGCTTTTGCTGTAGCAAGATTCTTCCAAAGAGGAGGAACATTCCAAAACTATTACATGGTAAACTATTTGTAATGTTTAAACTTTAGTTTACTAAGTAAGCACACAAATGAATTATTATTAACTATAACGATAACCAAATGTTTATGTTACTTGTGTAGTACCATGGAGGCACCAACTTTGATAGAACATCAGGTGGACCGTACATCACAACTAGTTATGATTATGATGCTCCTCTCGACGAATATGGTAAATATAATATGTATTCACATTTCAATTAAATTTAAAGAGATTAGTACTAACATGGTGAAAATTAATTAGGTAATTTAGCCCAACCAAAGTACGGACACTTGAAGCAGCTTCACGATGTTCTTCACTCTATGGAGAAGACTCTCACGCATGGAAACATTACCAACATTGATTTTGGAAACCAAGTCTCGGTAATTCTCTTTTCTTTTTTGCTTACTTCTTTTTAGAAGTTCATATATTTAAATGTTGTTCTTCAAAATATTCATGAACATATAAATTATATAGGCAACGATCTATAAAACGGAAGAAGGATCAAGCTGCTTCATTGGAAACGTAAATGAAACTTCAGATGCAAGAATCAATTTCCAAGGAACATCTTATGACGTCCCGCCTTGGTCTGTTAGCATTTTACCAGATTGCAAAACTGTGACTTACAATACCGCCAAGGTTTATCTTCTTTTACATTCAAAATTTACAAATTTATGCATTAATGAAGTTATACAATTTTTACGCATTTAACTTTTGCTTAATTTTTTAATTTTCAGATTAATACCCAAACTTCAGTGATGGTCAAGAAACCGAATGAAGCTGAAGATGAGCCTTCTACCCTGAAATGGTCATGGAGACCAGAGAACGTAGATAATGTCCTTTTGAAAGGAAAAGGAGAATCTACAATGAGGCAATTGTTTGATCAGAAAGTAGTAAGCAACGACCAAAGCGATTATCTTTGGTACATGACTACGGTTAATCTCAAAGAACAAGATCCGGTTTGGAGCAAAAACATGTCTATCCGTGTTAACAGTACTGCTCATGTACTTCATGCTTTTGTCAATGGACAACACATTGGTAAGTAAATATGGTTCTCAACAATACTCAATAGGTAAAGAAACAAATGTATGTTTGCTTAGATTTTTTGTTTCTTTTTATATATTTCAGGGAATTATCGAGTAGAAGATGGAAAATTTCACTATGTTTTCGAGCAAGACGCGAAATTCAACCCTGGTGCTAATGTCATTACCTTCCTTAGCATAACCGTAGGCCTTCCGGTGAGTTTAAAGTTTTATTGTTCTTAGGTTATATAAACCATTCTCTAGAGTTATCATATCTTTAACCCAATTTCGTTTTTTATTCTAGAACTATGGTGCCTTTTTTGAAAACATACCGGCTGGAATCACTGGACCCGTTTTTATCATTGGAAGAAATGGTGATGAAACCATAGTGAAAGACTTGTCTGCTCATAAATGGAGCTATAAAACCGGTTTAAGTGGGTTTGAGAACCAACTTTTTAGTGCTGAATCACCATCTACATGGTCAGGTGAGAGTGTACCAATCAACCGAACAATGACTTGGTATAAGGTAAGTAGATAAGTATTAAAATCAATGGCTATAACAGAACGGTTAATGCGATTTTAAATCGTTTATTATTACAATATGTTTCATGCATGCAGACTACTTTCAAGGCTCCATTGGGAAGTGAACCAGTTGTGGTGGATCTTTTGGGACTTGGAAAAGGAACGGCTTGGATCAATGGAAACAACATTGGACGTTATTGGCCATCTTTTCTTTCAGGTATTGATGGTTGTCCTGCCGAGTGCAACTACAAAGGAGCTTACTATGCTGAAAAGTGTCAGACAAATTGTGGAGAACCTACTCAAAGATGGTAATGTTTTTCTCTTAATTTTTCATGGTCCAAAATCTTTAGTTGGGTTTGTTTCAAAATGGTTATATCTTTTCCTCTTATCAGGTACCATATTCCTCGTTCTTTCTTGAACTCGGACGGAGACAACACGTTGGTTTTGTTTGAAGAGATTGGAGGAAACCCATCACTTGTCAATTTTCAGACAATTGGAGTGGGGAGTGTTTGTGCAAATGTCTATGAGAAGAACGTCCTTGAGCTTTCTTGCAATGGAAAGCCCATTTCCGCCATCAAATTCGCTTCCTTTGGTAACCCAGGAGGTAACTGCGGATCATTTGAGAAAGGAACTTGTGAGGCAAGCAACAATGCTGCCGCTATTCTCACTCAAGAATGTGTTGGAAAGGAAAAATGTTCCATTGATGTCTCCCAAGAGAAGTTCGGAGCACCAGAGTGTGGTGGTGATGCTAGAAGGCTTGCCGTCGAAGCAATTTGCTAGTTTGGTTTTTATAGATTTTTAGGGCTTTTTCTAGTTTTAGGGAGTTTTTTTTTGTTTTTTTCGATATTTTTTAAATTAGGTTTTCCTATGATTCTTTCCGAAGGATGTAGGTGCTTTTGATCCTCATTTCTCCTTATTAGTTATATGGAGATGTTATTAAATAAACTCTCTTTCTCTCTCGTCGTTGGAAACAAAGTTCTACGATTGGATAATCTATTGCATTATATCTTTCTACCTAGTCCCGAACAGAGACAAACCCTTGACAGAAAGAAAAATAAATACCTCTAAGAAATAAAAGATGATACAAATGTTCTATAGACACAACAAGACAAAGCTCAAACCCATTAACTGATGATGACTCCAAAATTAAACGAGAAACCAAAAAAGAAGAAGAAAAATCCCGACGCGTGACTTACCTCTCTCTTTGTGTTTTGTAAACTATTAAGTTCCTATCGATAAGAAACTTAGGTACAACAAAAAGCTGTTCTTGAATTGGAAACATACTAATCCCCAAACCCCACAACACATTACCAAATATGGGATGATGATGATGGTGGTGATGGTCGTGAGTTAATGAATGGATAGTTTGGTTGGAGAACTGTTCGCCTAGCCGAGGAGATCTTTGAACAGTGTAGGGTTCTGACTTGTTGGATTTACACCCATTTGCCTAACAAGAGCGTCTTTCTCGAGAGCTTCCTTCGTGTTTGGTCCTTTTGAGGTTTGAGATTGATATGTGTGTGAGTTTCCTTTGGAGCTATCAGACAGTTCGGATAAGAGAGAGTCAACACTTGTGGTTGTGGCCACGGGTGCTGTATCTGAGTATAGTCCCATCACATCTGTTGAACCCCCGTCTTGGCTAGAAGAATCCATGAGCCCTTCCAACTCTTTAAAAGGATCCATTGTTGAAATGGTTGTAGCAGTTGGCTCGCCTAAGTCGAGCAAGTCTGGTGGCGGTTGAACAGGGGTTGGGATTTCCTTGGGGATGGTTGCAGGTTTGTTAACTGTTCCTTTTGCGGACTTGTGACCACTGGAAGATGACTTTTTATCAGTTCTTGACGATGATGATCCACCAAACAAGGATGCAGCGAGTCTCTGTTTCTCGGGATCGATTTCTGGTTTCTTTGGTTCGTAACTGCTTCTAGGCTTTGAGCTAGATGAACCAACTCCTGCATCCGAGTGTGAAGTGGTACCATTTGGTGCTTGCTGAGTAGTAGAAGAAGCTGATGTGGTCGATTGATAGCTTGGTCTACCCCATTTTTGCTTAACGCCATCGAGTCGCAGCTTGATTTCTGATGACTCTCGTTCAGAGACCAAAGATGTTGAAATTGGCTGGTGTGATTCGCTGTAATAAGAAGGCTCAGGTACTGGAACAAGCTCGGTCGAAGCTTGTGGTGGCACTGATGGCTTTGGAAGTTCATAGGCTTCGAATCGAAGAGCATGAGATGGAACTTCGTGATGATCTTGGGAATGGTAATCGGTTGTTTCAAACATCCCTAAGCGCTCTCTCTCCGAAATATAAGGCTGCGATCCACTCTCGATAGCTTGTTGGATGTAGCCATTGAGAAATGAAAGTTCCTTATCCACCTAATTCAGAAACAGACGATAAGATTCAAGAAATCCACATTCGAAGGGAACGCGTGAAGAGAGAACGTACCTCAATGTCTTCGCAACTAGCATCTAAAGGGATTATAGTCTCAACAGCACGGGCATCTAGAGCAAGGAGAGCCTGAAGCTCATATGCACGTTGCTGAAGATCTGTTGAATGTGAAGCCAGTAGCTCTTCGATCAAAGATTGGCACTACATAATAAAGCCAGTCAGTCCGTGACAAATCAGGCTATAAATTACGTATATAACTTCAGAACCATCTACAGTTACAGACCTCTGGCAAAACATCCACCTTTCTCCCAGATGCAATTTCAAATGCATAGATCTTCATCAGTGCAGAAACAGCATAACCCTTCAATAAGACAAGGAAACCATTACTATTTCACGCAGTATACCGGTAGCAACTGGACTGACTTTGCAGTAAGTGGAAACATCACCATTCTCATGTACATATACCAGCAATTAATCTTGATTATAAATCTACCGGGTAAGAATCCATTTTAGGAAGACATGTTAGCACGCAATGGGTATAGTCACATTTTCCTGGAATTCAGTATCTACCATGGTGTCCTAATGCAACTAAACTGTGGAGATCTAAAAGGCAAGCGAGTGTTATAAAAAACTACACCAACACAGAACTAAAAGGCCAGAACACCTAAGCAGGCAAAGGTTTTCTCGGTGCATAATATTTAAGCTGTGGAGCTACCTTTACAGTTTCATCACTTGAATATGCATCTGCCACATCGCATAGCTTTCCACTAATATAGGAGGCAGAATATTTCCCATCAGCTGTGCCGTATTCTCCCAAGACCCAAGATATGACCTAAAGTTTAAATCAAAAAGTAAGAAGCATAAATTTAAAGTGTGAAAAAATGGTACGTGGAGAGATCAGAGAACAAAATCAACCTGAAGAAACAGGGATGGAAGCTTCGGCTCGCTAATAAGCTGCAAATACGATTCCACCTGCATTGAGGAAAACACACTCATAAGCACAATTAAAAACATCACACAATCTAAACCAACTAAACAGAACCAGGAACTCAGAACATGACTTGAGTTACTCAATGCTAGTTTCAAGATTGCAATTTCAAATATCAACTCTATCCTCTGTAAAAAATCGTTCACATATCACAGAACAAAAACAACAAATCTCTTTGCACATAAATGCAGCACGAACAGAAAACAGAATGAACAACATACAGCAGATAATCTGAGCTTGCTGTCTGCATCATCATCATCCTCTCCAAATCCTTCAGCAATCAAACGCATCAGATTATGTGCCACCTTAATATTTACCAGATCTCCTGCATGCTCGAAGACTTTATTCATGATCTGCAGTACAGCCACAGTTAAAATTTCTGTCAACTAAAACCAAGAGTATGTAATTATATTGTTTGCCCACAGTTACGAGGGAGATTGGCTTGCTACCTGGATGAACCATTGATTGCTTGGAGCAAATTGTTCGGCCAACTCAACACAACGAGATGCTATCTCAGTTTTGTAATGATTATCATTGATACTAATCATGTAATCAATCATTCGGTCAACAATCACTTCTACATTAGAGGACTTGGTCATTTTGTACAACAATTCAAAAGTCTTCCTCTTTAGTGTATCATCTGGATCCTGTTGGGCAGTAGCAATGAAACAAACATCAGGCACACACAAAAAAAAAAGCTCACATGAAAACAAACAACTAAAAGGTTTCCCCTGTTTCTTCTCACCTCTAAACAATCTATCACAGCAAGTTGGTGTTGCTCAGCAATGTCTGGACTTATTTTTATCAATCGACCAAGACCATCAATGCCCATGTACTTCAGATTGTGACTATCACTCTGCAAATAGTTTGCCAGGAAATTAGATACAATCATAAGGTTAACAAGATCATCTGCATACATGTCAGGAAGACAACAAACCTTCAAAAACTTGGAGATAGCATCAGCAGCAGCTTCTAACAGCTTGGGATTCGGAAGTATACAAGAAATACAGCGAATGCACTCGTAAAGGATCGCATTTCCTATATTGGTAGAGGAATCACACTTTCTGAACAAATCTCCAAGCACCATAGACATGATTTCACTCGCATTCTTATCACCACTACCCAGCAACGCCAATATCTTCAGCAATTTGATCTAAAGAACAAAATTTTGACAAAAGACTTCTCACCAGTTGCAAAAATCGAGTTCAATAAGGGGAACTTTAAAGCTAAGACACGAAACCTGAATGAAAGGTGCAGGCATAGAATGGTAATCGTAACTCTTTGGCAATCTTCTCTCAGTGACCTGTTTGAGAATACTGACGAAACTGCTAACTAAATCCTTGTAGGAATTAACATCTTCACTTATGAGATCAAACAACGGGCAAAGAGTCGCACCCATAACACCAGGATCATTATCACATAACCTCTTTCTGAAATTAGAAATCAAATGCGAAACCGAAGAAGGAGACTTGCGGTGAAATCTATGCAAAGCCATAATAGCTTTCTTCCTCACAGCTTCCTTCTGGTGATTAAGCAACTCAACAACCTGCGGCAGAACGGCCGGAATCGTCTCCTCATTAATCAACCTACAAATCGCATTAAGCGCGGCGCAAACGACGAGATAGTTATCGGATCTGAGATCTTTCTGAATGGTGTTAACAATAAGGATGATAAGATCATGATCCTCGTTGAGAAAGAGCGTCACAGCTAAGTAACCAGTACGCTTGAGAAGGAGATTATCATCATGCGTCATCTTCACGGCGTGAATGTAACCAAAAGAAGCGTCGTGGCCTAACATCTCGATGTAAACGAGCCTTATAATGTACTCTTTCATCTTCCTCTTGGGAACATCTGGTTCCAACAATCTCCGTTTCAGTATATCGATCTCGCTTAACACGATCCGATCTTCCTCAGCTTTAGATCGTGCTTCACCGATTGATTTGACCAGATCGAGAAACTCCTTCGACTGACCAAATCCTCCTTGCGATCCCATCGCTAGCTCTCTTCCAATTGTCTTCAACTGCTCCATCTTCCCCCTCTCTAACTCACTCACTCAATCAAATCACTAGCACCAAAACACACCGGAGATTTTGAATTTCTCCGACGACGGCCAATTGAATTAACGATGGAATTAGATAAGAACTAGGGCTATTTCCGATGAGAAATCGGAAATTGGACCATGCGAAATGGGAATTGATAGTTCCGATGATTGTTCCCTAGCACGGCGGCGATGAGTATGATCCGATGGAGTTCTCAGATCTGGAGAAGAGAGTGAAATTGAAAGATGAGAAACACGTGAGAAGAGAAGGAAGAGAGTTTAGTAAACAACGAGAAAAGAGTTTTGTCACTGTTTGTTTTTTTTTGCTTCCAACCACACCAGGCGGTCCCCAATAGCAAAAACACCAACACACGTGTAACAGTAAAATTTAGAGGTGTTTTAACCCGGATCCGGTTTTGTATTGGTTTAAGTTCGGTTCGCTTCCATCTGGTTTAAGTGTTGATAGTTTTAACCGGGATCCGGTTTTTTATTGGTTCGGTTCCGAATTGAAACTTGAATTACAGTATTTTTGTATAATCTTTGGATGTTTTGGCATAAGATATCGATAAGTGAGTTTTTCAAAATCTTTTTTTCTCAGAATGATCAGAAACGCTAAGGTTGGTGATGCATCATCTTCCTTTAATTGATGGCCTGAAGAGGATCTTCTTGTAACCGGAATTCTATATATAGAAGCATTCATGTATGTACATTGATGAAACTAGAACAACGAGATCAATGGAGTTGTTCAAATGCTTTTACCAGGATAAAGTTTAAATGCTTTTATGAGTGATCATGTTTCATATACTGAACGTACATATATGATCCATATTTCACCAATATCTTGTATTTTGTATGTAGAGTAATTACGTAACATAACATAGACATTACAGAATTGGTTCTTTACTAGATCTAGTTCGTTAGGTGTTGGTGTTTTGTATATGATCTCATGGAAGCTTATCGAGTGAAAATGTTCCCAACATTTCTGATCAACATGATCACTCAGTCTCATTGATGAAACCACTTGGTTATGTGTTTCATTGAAGAGTTATGTATTTCTTTTTATGATATCTAGTTATATTATATAGCTAGGTTGCTTATGGACCAAGAAACCATACTAACCGTTGATATTTTTTTCCACATTACACAACGATGGGTTTCTGAAATATTGACCTAACGAGGTCGTTTCGTAAACATGAAGAGTGTGGTGTGGCGTCGTGTTTACGTTTAATTAAGTATTTTTGAGAATTACTTAGATGATCAGTCTCCATCAGCGAGCAACACTATCACCATCAATCTCTCTTTCTCTCACTATTCTCTCGCCAAAACACGTTTAGGCAGGCCTCAAAATTTGAAAACGCCGTTTTTCTTTTTAAAACGCCGATTCTCAACGCTATAGTAGCTAGTTTGATTGTTCTAAAACTAGCAACATTTCCAAAAATATTTATTGATCAAATAATAGCATATATACATGTGTAAATTTGTATCGTCTACATCTTCGTATATCTCTTAATTTCTACATATTAAATTTTGCAAACAATACTACTCCATACAAAATCCGTTAATTATCTCTACCATATCTTTTGTAACAATCTTCAATAAGTATTTTTTTTAATAAACTAATCTAGGTGATCTCTAGTTGGAATTATGAGAAAAGAACAAAGAAAAAAAGAATAATACCATATGAGAAAGATTTTGCTTATGGATCCATTTGATCAAGTTTAAATTCTTTGCTTTCTACGTAATTTTGAGAGGGGTTTAAAAAATAACACTATTACACATTTTGGTTGTGACGTTTGTCTTGAGTCTCGACATGTACTGATGGCTTGGCTATAGACGCAAACGCTCCGAGAATAGCGGCCAGCGTCATAACGCAAAGAACACCAGACGCTGCGAACACACCGTCTTTGACAAGGTAACACTCACGATTCAGCCACCCTTTCCCGTATCTCTGCTCTCTGTTCATGCTTGCACCAACGCTTATTAATGTAACCGCAACCGCAAAACTAACCCTGCAATTAATTCATGTATTACGTAACTACACTAGATTAATTATTTGTTTCTTGCATGGTTCGTAGACTTTGATGTAATAAGCATCTTCTTACCAAGAAAACAGCATAAGAATTATACAAAGCGGTGTAGTTCCGGTTTTGTCAGTTTTCAAGAAACCTCTACAGATCAAAACGTTTCCGACGATCTGAGCAACGGAAACACAGACCAAAGCAGCGACTCCTAACCCGAAAGCACGGTATTCGGGTAAATAACATGATTCTCCATCCCATTTCAGATCTTTCCCCTTCAAAAAAAACGTAAAACTTTAATCCAAAACAAGTTCTTAGAATACAAAATGGATGACTTGACAACCAAGTCATTTGAAAATTCTTATACCTTAGCCTTCTGAAACTCAGCCGAAAGGCACAGGAAGAACGCGGCGAGACCCAAAAAAACGATGAACATGAAAAAGAGAGAACAAATGGGTCGCCCATTCCGGGTAACTTGTTCTTGAACCTCCATAGATCTGTCCTTCTTACATCACAAAGAGAGAGAGAGAACGAGATTACTTGAGACTTACTCCACTATTACATAGAATAACTATTTGTGTATGCTTACGTATATATGTTTGTAAAGAGTGGATTTGTTCTTTGTTGTTATGGTTGGGTTGTTGGGTTCTTTGCTTTGCTTTTGTGTTAATAAAGTATTTTTTCTTTTTTTTTGAATCTTAAGAGAAGAAACTTTTGTGGGACTCAGGCTGTTTGACTCTTTTCTCCTCTGTTTTTTTTTTTCTCTCTGTATTTATGTATAAACAAATCATTTGGTAACAACATATGAATCCCGAAGAAAATATATATGAAATTGTTGCATAATGATATACATTTCGTAATTTTTCGTTTTCTGTTAGATTCTCGTGTAGTGCATGCACATAATGACTATATAAACGCAATTTATTTGAAACGACCACATTATTATTTCTCGAATTTTTAAAACAGTCCATAATCAAGTAGAACAAATTCATCAATGATATGATTAAGTTGTTTACTAATCGTGTTTAGGAATGCACTGTCGAGCTGTGGTGACTTTGACGGGTTTGGTCTTGAGGACAGGGTTTCGCTCGAAGAAGTTGGTCGGTCGGAGCTCAAAGCCACCAGATAAAGTAGGCATCGTAGGGTAATCTTCCTGACTAGGGACATGGTGGAAACCGACAGTGTACCACATCACTATATCTTTATTCTCTATTTTCCTATTCCTGTCAAATTCATTCAATAACATATTTTAGCCTCTCCAGAAACGAAATATAATTTACTAAGATATCTTTTTATTTTTATCATCTCATGTTTTAAGTGAACCTTTGTGTGTATATACATGTTGACTTAAAGGTTAGTGTAATAGAAATATTGAGTACCTTTGAGACCACACGGCCAACGTATCGTCACCTTGGCTCCTGTCAGCGTACAAACCACCTGCCCAAACCTCAGATCTGTTGTATGGAGTGATCCACACGTTATAGTTGGTAAATGCAGCTCGAATCTGTGGGAAATCATCTTGAGCCAGAAGAGGGCCAGCAGCGGATCCATGAAGTAAACGGTATCCAACTTCATTTCCATGTTTCGTTTTCCGGTTAGGGTTAACCACCACCAGCTCCTCCGTTTTTAACCCTAGTTTCACCCTAGCCTCTGCCTCGGTCTTGGCCGTCTTTGGCCTCGATGACCAATAGCTTTTCCTTGGCGTGTTAACAGATTTTGGAGTCCTCTTGGTCACAAGCTCGTTACGGACAAAGGAATTGTCCTTACCATCAATGTCAAGATCAAGACGGAATGTCACGAAATGGTCGTGGTTAACACCGACGGTGTTGTCGGCGACAATTGTCCCGTGTATGTCCTCTCCTACTTTGATTTCGGACGTGTGAATATATTTTACCGGTTTGACTTCTAAAACACCGGTTAGTCCGACCTGTTGGTATAAACGAAACCGCTTTAAAATAGAACTTTAGCAATCGCTATATTTTAGTTGAAATATAAATTAAAGCAGAATTTAATTTTATATGATCATAAAATTCATATTATTATTTTCTATCCAAACAAAACTGATATTTATCATACCGATCCAATTCTACAAATTGGTTGAAATAATTTCATACAATATGAGAACCCACAAAAAGAAAACGTGAATCATGAAAATCAAACCTAATGATTCAATTATACGATTTGATCTGATGTCATTTGTTCCTTTATCTAAAGACTGCTTTTTTCTTGTCATCGTTCAATCATGATTCTATTGATCATCATTCACGTGATTCATGTTGGTGTTCATTTCAAACAAAATAAATGAAACGTATAAACTATAGTATAACTTTATAATAGTCATAGGCAAAGTTGGAAAGAGACGGCTTTACCCCCATTTTGATGGAACCACTAGGCTTGAACTCATAATCAACTATATAGTCATAGTTTCCCACGGTCGTCACAATCCGAGCTACAAGACTCACGTCCGGTCTAACCTCCGTAATCTGCATCATCATATTATAAACAGATATAAATCATGTACTGTGTACAACATTATATATAAAAAAATATGATAGCATGCATAACACCATAATGTTATATTTTTTACTTCTAAGTTTGGGATTTCAGCTTCCGTATGTCTCCACATGATATCACCAGCATACTTTTCGAAAATGCATATAGCATTTGGGATTTTTGCGGGAGTTCCATCTTGACCAGCAAAAACCCCGTCCATAAAAACTGCACCCGCTGGACAATCAGTGTACGGTTCAAGAGACACGGCGCATTGACCACATCCGAAATCGCCACAATCAAGATAAGTAATGAAATACCAATCATCAGTTGGATCCATGTAAGGTATGAACATCTCCGACAAGTGACCTTTGTATAGGACTTGTCGGTATTTGTTTACTTCCGTGTCGAATATGGACGCGAGGGAGATGACGATACCAGCTCGAACGTCGAAGGATAAGTGAAACTCCCAGTTTGCCCATCTAGCCATCATCATATATATTCATATGTAATGAAATTAGTATAAGTGGTATATTTATAAGAGGTATCATCAATTTGCATGCATGTTTCTGTCACAATGTCTATATGATGAATACCTAATTTAAAACTAGAAATTTCAAAGATAAGACTCCGATAAATCTATTCACATACGCATCATTAACTGAAAAAACAAACAAGAATATGATGCCAAATGATACATATGTGGGGAATGGGGATAATATTTAGTATACACGAAAATGTAAGAACCACATATATATGCAAGGAAATAATGGAGTTCTTATAAATTTCCAAATAGAAAAGATTTGGACAATCTTATCTTGTGCATCGGTGATGGGTCCTCCCTCCGCACAGAACTTTCAATTTTTAAGTGAAAGCTAGACAAAAGTTTTTAATTTTAAATTTTAAATTTTGTATTCTAATTATGGTTATCATTGAAGGATGGATGCAAAAAGCTAATTATTGGTCAAGCAATATTTAATGGTTTTACGTTACTAAGATTAACCATATACCAAAACTCAAACTAATCCGGGGGTTATACTTATAGCCACTAAAGATGTTTAAAATATTTAATTTTTAGAGATCTAGATATGTATATCTGATTTTCAAATATTTAAAAAGCTATATGTATAAGATTTTTTCCTATAAAATGTGCCCTATTTTTAGTCAAAGAAAACGAAAAAATAGTCAGAGATTTAAAGCTGAAAAGTAGAACAAAAATATTACTATATACAATACACAGACACAGTTTAAACTTTCAATTAGCAACATTTGATCTTTTAAATAATTAAAAAGGAGAAAAAAAACTCATAATTATTTTTACCTAAAAAAGGACCACAGTTACTATTTTGACTGACAAACTTAATTTTAATTTTTCTCTACAAAACCTGACCTATGAGGTAGATCCAAAAAATGAGGATGAGGGAGAGAGAGACCAATTCATTTACCTCACGGTGTGTCCATCGATCTTGAATCCTGGACCATTAGGTTGCACAAGGACGGCGTTACGAAGCGTCGGCCCAAACGGAGGTTTAAGCTTTGAGATACGGTACTCCGTTTCGTTAGCCTTAGGCATAGTAACTATTAACCTATCTTTAAACTCCGTTACCTTCATCTGGTCAAGGTTAACTATTATCGTCATTCCTTCGATAGGTTTAAGATACATATTAACTGTGCCGTCAAGATAAAACGGCATCATTCTGATAACTCTCTCCGTCTTGGCCTTAGATTCGCCGTACCATCCAATGGTTGACGTGGTGAACACGATCTCCGAAACGTTCAAGCGGCGTCTCGCAACGGAGTGGAGAAACGGCTTGAACTTGAAGACGATGTCGGAGGATGTTTCTTGCTCGTCGTTTGTGAGCATAGGGTAACCATTTCCTACGCGGATCTTGTCCGAGACGATGGCTCGAGAGGAGAAGTCGACGACTATCTCTCGGGTCTTGCCTTTGTCTCGAGCGATGACGAACGCTTGACGTGGCGGTGGTTTGATGGCGTGGTTCCGTGATGAGTACCAAGACAAGACTAGAGACTTGTCGGGTTCGTTGAGACCAACGTATTGGAAAGTGAACTTGTGGCTCGGACCAACGGGGTACGATTTGTTGATGATGGTTCGGACGAGTTTGAGTTCGGTCTCGGTTAAGGGATCAAATGGGTGACGCGATGGAGTGAAGCTATTTGAGGATGAGATAACGATAATGAAAGAGAACAAAATGAGAATGAGGAAGTAATGTGAAGGAGCCATATTGTGATGTGTTATTGTTTGATCTGATGGACTTGGTTTATGTTTAAACTTTATAGGAAAAACACTTTCGTGATGGGATTAAATCTATATTAAATTTTTGCAGCATTTTTTGAAAAAAACATTAGAGTAGGAAGTTATTTACAAGGCTATGCTATTGACATTAACTATTTAGTTAAAAATTTTAAAACTAATAATAATCATTTTTAACAAAATTCCTAAAATCTCTCCCTATTAAATATAATATCATATCTTATTTCCATTTGTTCTCAAATATTTCTCCAAAATGATCTTATTTGTTTTTAATTTATTTTATTAAATAAAAAATATGTATAATAAAAATACAAATTTTTTCGCATACTTTGCAATTAATTTTTTTTAAACGGACGTATATTACAAATATTTGTAGCATATGTACAACATCCCATATCGAGTATAATTTTTTTATAATGGTTCAGAACCTTTATAAATAAGATTATAACTTTCTAACTACGAATGACGGGACTATAAACATGAGTTAAAAATTTTGGAAATATATGACGGGACGGGTTGTAAGACGGGAACGGTTGTTAACTACATATAAAGTTTAAAATATTTAAAATATTTTGAAACTTTTTAAAATGTTTCAGTGTTATTAATATTATAGCTCTGCACCAAGTTTATATTAAAAATTATTGACTTTGTCATTTTTGTAAACATGGGTTTATTTTTTAGTGATTATATGACATAACGGGGTATAACACGGGAAATGTTGTAATATGCTTCCAAAAAATTATATGACGGGCCGGATTGTAAAAGTTTAAGTTGATATTACTAAAAAATTATAATATCATTAATCTGACTGTTCAATACGGGTCATTTCCCTATTTTTTTTAACAATACCAATATAAAACATGTATAAATAAACTGATTTTGGTAAAGTTTGATATTATGCAATCTTGATAATTGTAGATTGTTTATATATTTTCAAATATTTATGTTTTTTAATTCCTACTAGGATGGGAGTATATTGAATATGATTTAAATATGTCAAAATGGTCCACCAATTTTGTATTAAATTATTATGAATATCTCTGTGATACACGGATTAATTAATCTGTACACATTTACACAAATTTAGCAGATTTTATTGTACTTGTCTATAAATAATATGTTCAAATTTAATCGAACCAACCATAAATTTAAGCATAAAAATGTTTAGATTTTAAATCTCAAAATTTGATTTTAAAGATTCACTTATAATTAAAGAGTTTTTCTCCAAGGGTTGAGTTGGTTATAAAGAAAGATGTATACTGAAATTTTTTTATTAATTAAAAATAAGAGTTATTAGCATCACGTTAAAATAATAAATTAAAGATGAATAGAGAATAATAATTATTTTAATATATTTTTTAATTAATTAGAACAATATTAGAAATCTAATATTAGATATTGAATAATATAATCTAGTGTGGGAAGCATCGACTTATATCCAAACTTAATTAGATGTTTGATTTTAAAATAGCAAATTATAATTTTCGGGTTAAAATTTTTAAATTAATCTAACTCAAAATATAAATGTACTTATTATGAGTTGGATTCTCGAATCGACCAACGTGCGAATTATCTTGTTGATGGTAATAAATTAATATACTCTTTTCGCACTGGAGAAATAGACGATAAAGTTAGATATGCGACCTCGATTACACCAAACCATTCGGCGACAAAAATGATTATACACTAGTTCTTATCTTTATATACAGTAGTATTAATTTGCTTGGGACAGCACTGAGCAGCAGACCCATATGTAATAATTCACTACACTAACTTAAAGACAATGTACAATCACTGATATGATACGGTCTTTCTTTGACTTATGCCATCTTCTAACTACCCTAACGCAAAATCTACCAAACATCCCAAATGCTATATCCTCTTGACAACTTCAATAAATCTGTGTCTAACGACGTTCCTATCAGAGGAAACTAGTTCAAAGGTCAAGCTTTTGGTCTTTAATTTCTACCACTTTGACAAGTTGAGTCTCGTCTGATATATAAGTTTTCCTGAAAATATTTCATCTATCTAATAGAGATGCTCTTGGGCAATCGTACATGGCTAGTGGATACCCTTATTGGTTGCATGACTTGTTTGAGCACGAGAGAACTCTCTTGTATATCTAAGGTGTGTTAATGTTATGTCTCTCTTAAACTTGTAATTAGTTTAACTTTTTGGAGGTTAGTGGAATAGTATAAATTAACATGTGCTTCTACTAATGGAGCAAGGCCTCTTAGGGCATCTTCATGGGCATATCCCCAAGGGTCTTATGTGAATAAACAAAGCCCAAAATATTAAAATAGTGAAATGTTAAGAATCATTCGGTTTTATCTCAAGATGTTTTCGAAGGAGTTTAACAACCGGTTCATAAGCATACGTGGCAAAGAGTTATTGGTTGGTAACTGTTGAATAAAAATAATATTATTTGTCTTATTCTCTTTCAATAGTTTCTCCTCTTTCCCTAGACTTACGACAGAGAACGATGAACCAATATCTCTCCATCAACATCTATGCAGATCTTCTTCAAGCTACAAAATCACAATTCCAATTTCAATAATCGAGAATCCAAAATCAAAAGGAAAAGATTTGATAAAAAAACAAAATGCCTTCTCGACGAGTTTAGGATCGAGATTTTTGTCGGCGACGAGAGTAGCGTGGAGACGACGGATTGATGAATCAACGGCTGAGGCGTTTTGACAGAGAGATAGCTCTTGTTGATTGATTTTGTGATGATGAGATCGGATTTGGATTTGTGTAGATGAAATTTTTTTGTTCTAAAAGAAGAAGAAATGGTTTGAATCTGTTTTTTTTTTTTTTAACAATTTAAGAACCTTGAAGTTCAACCAATAATAACCTATATATTTGAACATCTTAATTTACTTTTTTACAATATTAATACACTATAAAATCTCTAAGATACATTTGAAAGGATATACCTTTAAGGATGCTCTTAAAGCATGTCCACTGGGCGATACTCATTGAGTTCTCTAAGTGAAAGTGGGCCAACAATTAAAAAGAAAATAAGAAAAAGGGTTCACTTAAAATAGAATGAGTTCTCTAAGTGCAACTCTAAAGAACCGCGACGTGGCACTTCGTTATTGGAAGATGAGTAAAATATAAATAAATAAAAAACAATTTCCCAATTTTTTTTCTTCTTCTCGCGAAATTTTCTCTCTCCTTCTCTGTCAACCCGACGATTCTCTAGTGGAAGCTGATTTTTGTTTAAAATTGTTAATAGATTTATTTGATTAGTTTATTGTTAAATATATTTATAGTTTAATTTGAAGTACCGAGATCCTCTACTAAACATGGTCTTATTGTAACTTTTATTATAATCAGAAAATTCAGATGTAAGAAACAAAGAACGACTTCTATGATTGCAATTTTATTGAACTAATTATTCTATGATTTATGTTTGTTAAAACTTGGGATATATAACTTTTTTTTTTTTTTAACATATCTTTATTTATTTGTCCTTCAACCCCAAAACAGGGGGGACATTTGAGCCTACATTACCTTTGGCCTTTGGAGTAAAAGAAAACATGTGTGATGTGTCTTTGTGGGTCGAATTTATTATTCATATATGGTTCATTTTGTCAAGGCCAAATAAGGAACATATATAAATGTGACTATACGTAATTATATACTTACTCGTAACTCGTATCTCTCGTTAAACTGAAATCATGCAATTCCGGTTTATAATCCTTTTTGGGAAATTCCGGTTTATTTGTTTGTTTGTCCAACGAGAACTCTGGTTTAAGTTGGAAAGAGTAAAGAAGAAAAAATATAGTTCCCTACTTCTGTTGTCTCTGAGTCTTTTTCCAATACTGATTTTTATTTGCCTTGCTCGATTTGTTTTCTAGAGTTTTTACTTCCGATTACTATCTCTGATCACTAAATCTATTCTCGTAGTTTCTTCTAAAAATAACGTTGTCTAGCTACCTAATTAGTTTTTAATTATATATTATATTAATTAATGTTAAAAGTCGTAAAATTTAAATTTTCAAAATTAGCATATCTGAAGGAAATCTATATGAGCTAATTGATATCAATCAACAGTATATATTTACCTTTTTAATGTTAACTCATTTTTTATAACCGTACCAAGAAGTGTATCTTTAAAGTGAAACACAATGTAAAATAAAATAAAAAAAGATTTAAAATGAAGCAATGAAGTAAAAAAATGGCAAGACAGCAATGAAGCAACATATTTAAACACACATAAATACTACTCACTCTGTTTCAAAAAGATTGATGTTTAAATGTTTTTACACAAATTAAGAACAGTCATGATTATTTTAAAAAACTTTATTTTTTCTCACTGAAAAATATTAATTAATTATAAACTAATGACAATTCAGAGATTCAAATTTTACTTATGATTATTTTTTGAACTTAACAAAATACTAATATTATTTAATTAAAATATGTAGAACATCAACCTTTTGTAAAACAAAAAAAAAATTCCAAAACATCAATCTTTATGAAACAGAGGGAGTATTATACTAACATCAACTTGGTAGAAAATTCAGTTTAATTTCTTTATTAATTTATTTATTCATATTATAATATTTATTTGGACAAACATGAATACATGATTATCTCTTGAAATCTCTTTTACAATTCCTTACACATATCAAATCATGAATGTCATTCATTCAATGATAAGCTGGTTTATTAATCGTTCTTCGCAGTACACTTTGGAATGTTGGTGAGGTTCATAGGTTTAGCCTTGAGGACAGGGTTTTGCTCGAAAAAGTTTGTTGGCCGAAGTTCAAAGCCGCCGGACATAGTAGGCATTGTCGGAAAATCTTCTTGGCATGGTACATGGTGGAATCCAACGGTGTACCACATCACTATATCTTTCTTCTCTATTTCCCTATCCCTGTTGCATTCATTTGCATAACTTTTAGTCCCACAAAAATAATCAACTTAAAGTACAAAATAGTATATAAGTCACATAAAACTGTTATATTCACAAAAATTGTATTGTTTTCAAAAACATTTCGTACGTAAACTCATTGCAACATTGTATGTATAAAAATCAATTTTTTATTAGAGGTAAATTAAAGTACCTTTTGCTCCATACGGCTAACGCATCGTCACCTTGGCTCCGATCAGCGTATAAACCACTAGTCCAAACCTCTGATTTGTTATACGGCGTGATCCACACGTTATAGTTGGTGAATGCTGCTCGAATCTGTGGGTAGTCATCTTGGGAAAGAAGTGAGCCTGTAGCCGGGCCAGGAATTAGACGGTATCCAACCTCATTGCCATGCTTAGTTTTCTTATTAGGGTTAACCACAACCAACTCTTCCGGTTTCAGCCCTAGCTTCACTCGAGCCTCTGTCTCGGTTTTTGCCGTGTTCCGTTTCGTTGTCCAGTAGCTTTTTCTCGGTGTGTTTACAGATTTTGGAGTTCTCTTGGTCACAAGTTCGGTACGAACAAATGAATTATCCGTACCATCGATATCAAGATCAAGACGGAATGTCACGAAATGGTCGTGGTTGACTCCGACGGTGTTGTCAGCGACAATTGTCCCATAGATGTCGTCTTCTTTGATCTCTGATGTGTGAACATATTCAATGGGTTTAACTTCTAAAACACCGGTTAAACCAACCTATGAATATTGAAGTGGTAACATTAAAACAAATCAAATTTGATAATATCGATCGATCTTATTACATGCATGATTAAATCTTACTCCCTCTGTTTCATATAAGTGATGTTTTAGCCAATTTTTTTTTGTTTCACTATAAGTGATGTTTTCAATTTCCTATGCAAAAAATTAATGTATTTAATATTTTTTGACCAATTATATTTTACATCATATTTTCTTATTAGTTGAATTCATATTAGTTAATGATCTTTTTATGAAAAATGGATAAGTTATATGTTTTATTAATTTTTATATTTTAAATGCATATATAAAGTTAGGAAAAGTTTTTGAAAGACATTACCCCCATTTTGATCGAACCGCTAGGTTTGAACTCGTACTCAATGATATAGTCGTAGTTCCCCACTGTCGTCACCATCCGGGCTACAAGACTTACATCTGGTCTAGCCTCTGTGATCTGCATACAACAACAGTTTGTGTAAATATACACATAATATTTTTTATCATATTATATATTACTAGTAAACTCGACAATATACATATTGTTTATTAACAATCTATTACTTCCATGCCGGGTACTTCAGATTCGGTGTGTCGCCACATAATATCTCCGGCATATTTTTCGAAAATGCACATAACGTTCGACACTTTTGTAGGAGTTCCATCTTGTCCCGCGTAGATGCCATCCATGAAGGCAGCATTTGGTGGACAATCTGTATATGGCTCAAGGGACACAGCAGACTGGCCGCAGCCATATTCACCACAATCTAGGTAACTGATGAAGTACCAATCATCATGCGGATCCATGTAAGGCACGAACATCTCGGACAAATGGCCTTTGTATAGGACTTGCCGGTACTTGTTCACGTCCATGTCGAAAATGGACGCAAGAGAAATGACTAGCCCGGCTCGAACGTCGAATGACATGTGAAACTCCCAATTTGCCCATCTGTTCACCATCACATAAAAAGTATCAGTTAAAAAGAAAAAAAATTACATGCTCAATTTTTAAGTTCATATTTTTTTTTACCTGGATTTTCCAGATTAGCAAAATTTAACTTTTTCATCAACAAACAAAAAAAAAAGAAAGAAAAAAGCTAATTTTAGCATTAAACCTAAACCGAATTAGTGATTGAAGTAAAAGGATTTACTCTTTCGACTGCGTTTACATGTTGGGTCTGAAAAACACTGGGTTTTACCGTATTGGTGTATTGTGCAATACCATGATAAATGATTACTTAACAATGATAAACAAAAAAAAAAAAAACTCCAATATGTATAAGTTCTTTACTTTTATACCTAACTTGAACTCAAATCTACATAAAATTTATTTTTAAAATAATACTAGTAAGAGAAAGTACGATGTTAAATTACAAATTTTAGCTACTTAAAAATTATCAGTTATATAGCTTATTTAGAGAAAAATTACAACTTGTGATTTTTTTTTTTTTTTTTTTTGGTCGTCCAATATTTCATTTTAAATAAAATGAAAAAGTCCGTAAATCTAAAAATATGACCGACAATAATTGCCATTTTTTCTCCAAACAGAAGATATTCGAGCAGAAAAGAAAAAGCTGTCTTATTTGTACAATTACCGACATTATTTTATTTCCATATATAATTGAACTATAATGTTTCCCAAGTTTGATTTATAAGATGTATGTCAGCAAGACTTATAGCCATAATTGTTTTTTGTTTTTGTTTTTGCTAGCTCATAATTGTTACCTCACAATATGTCCGTCGATCTTAAACCCTGGACCGTCCGGCTGGAAAACGACCGCGTTTCGAAGCGACGGGCCAAACGGCGGCTTGAGATTGGAGATACGGTACTCTCTACCGTCAGCTTTCGGCATTGGACCTGTGAACCTGTCCTTGAACTGCGCTACTTTCATATTGTCAAGGTCAACGATTATGGTCATTCCTTCAATTGGTCTAAGATACGTGTTCACCGATCCGTTTAGATAAAACGGTATCGTTCTTATAAACCTCTCCGGCTTGGCCTCACCGAACCATCCCATCGTTGAGGACGTGACCACAACTTCCGACAAGTTCAAGCCACGTTTCATTATCGAGTCACGGAACGGCTTAAACTTGTGAACAAGCGCGGTGGCTGCACGCTGCTCGTCAACAGTGAGCATAGGGTTTCCATTGCCTACGTGGATCTTGTCCGAGACAATTGCTCGAGTGGAAAAGTCAACAACGATCTCTCGGTTCTTGCCCTTATCTCGGGCGATGACAAACGCTTGGCGTGGTGGTGGTTTGACGTTGTGGCCTGGTGATGAGTGCCACGACAAGACTTGGGACTTGTCGGGCTCGTTGAGACCCACGTATTGGAATGTGAACTTATGGTTATGACCAATAGGGTACGAATTGTTGATGATGGTACGGACGAGTTTGAGTTCGGTCTCGGTCAAGGGATCGAAGGGGTGAGGCGGCGGGATGTAGCTCGAGGATGAGATTATGAAAATGGAAGAAAGTATACAAATAGTGAAGTAAAGCTGATGAGCCATTGCTTTGTAATTTTGATTGTCTTGGATTCTCTTTAGTGTGTTACTATATAGCCAACACTTGAACACACGAGGAAAACATGTTAGGGTTTTATGGTCCTCAACATAGTGATTTTCAAAACATATATGGATATTATATAAAATATAATAGTTCAAAGAAAGTAATTTATTTTGTTTTAATAATGGTTGCTAGCTGTCGACCAAAAAAAAAAAAAGGGTTGCTAGCTAGCCATTTAACCTAATTACGTCCATAACCCTAGAGAGTTAGAACCAAACTTGAAAGGAAAAATAATAGAGTAAGCTTATATTTCCAATTTGTAGAAAACTACATTGTGGATGGGTTTATACACAAATTTCATATTTTTGTCATGTTGACAATACATGTACAAATGCAAACCCCAAATAGAAAGAAACTGTTATTGTGTTAAAATTCGGACTTTCTCATGTGGTTTGCCGAATTTAAAGCTGACTGACTTTTAAAATATTCTTCAGTTTAATATTTTCGAAGAGTTTACGTATGGAAAACAACAAATGTAATTTTAAAAAAAATTCCCTAAACGTCAGAGAATTTGAGCAGAATGGACCACAAGAAATATCAAAATGATCTCTTCATTGTTTTGAAAGACACATACAAATGTGTCATTGGGTTGGAGACATAAATTCTCTCGTTATCAAGAGGGGTTTGTGGTCCTAGGAGATGCTAAATGAATACCTGGATAGTTTAGTATGCCATTATAACATCTAATTTATTGTGACGACTGGGATTATTAAGAATAAGTTAAAAGTTAATTTGTATATGATGTTCATAATAGATTCATTGATGTTTAAATATAACATCATTTGAAATGGTTTTTTTGTATATTATAGACTGTATAGCTAGCCATTGTATACGTTACATAGTATATATTTCATTGTTTGATGCAAAACGATGTTGTTAGCAAGATCACTATTTTATTTTTATAGTAAACTTTGAACATATAATTTTATAATGTTTATGTGAAAACTAAAATATTTTCTTCTAGAAGATCATTTTGTTAATATATAATAAGTTTTTAAGTAGAGTGATTAATAATAGAGAAAATTATATTTTATGCCATGAACAGTAACAAATATTTTATGAAATGCCACTTTTTCTTCAACAATTTCTCCCATGCCACAAGACATAATAAAAAAATATTTTTAACATAATTTGACGCTATATAAATATCTATTACAGTAATTTTTTTGTTTAATTTCTTCATTAGTAAAATGGTCCTTAACATTGTAAAACAAAAGGTCCCAATGCAATGTTATGTCAACACTCAAGGGGATACAAAGAGATGCGCAAATCCAAAGTGGTACCCTTTCTGGTAGGTCTTACCCCAAAAATGCAGTGAATTTGTTTGGGTCCTTTCATCGGCCAATTTATTATAAAATGTCACATACAATAACTATTGGTCGATTTATATATAAATATATTATATTGCTGTCATTTTGAAAGTATGAAAATATTTAAAACTGAAAACAAATAAATATATATATATATATATATATATCTGATTTGTTTTAATATTGTTGGATTCAAACATGCATAATTCAGTAAAACCTCTATAAATTAAGAATAATGTGACTGCGATATTTTCTTAATCTATTGAGTTATTAATATATCGATAATTCGATATATAAATTGAACCGAAATCTCAGTTTTAGAATTGAGAAAAATATATTGATTGATCGAGTAGTAATTTATAGAGGTTATAATGTATATATGCTCAAATGAATTCTAATATATAACACAAGGTGAAAGAAAGGCATATCACTTACAACAATGGCATTGTATCTTCTAACTTGCATTAATTACGAAAGAAGAATCAAAGCAAACTTATGAAGCATTTATACAGTATGCCTGTTTCAGTTGTCCATGCAAGCTTTATATAGTTGAAAACAATTACTATATAAAGTTTTATACAATATGCTTGTTTCAGTTGTCCATGCAAGAACCATTCATATTATATTCTTTCCCCTTTAATTACTCGCTCTCATTCTACCTTCCTTATCTCAAGTTCTTGTCTGGAATTAGAGTAGAATTTCATTAAAACCTTCAACTGAATAAATCGTATCGATCTCTTCTTTATTTTTTATAGTGGAGAACTAAAAAAAGATTGTCCCAAGAGAAAAAAATATATATTGTGGCAAAGAACCACAAGAACTTCTCTACGTTTGTAAATAATTGTCCTTCAACTTGGCTCGTTTGAGTCAATCTTAGGCCCTCTGATGACAGAAAAGAAAAGAAAAAGAACTGCTCTACGTAATTGTAGCTTTTGGGATTACATTTCTAGCTCTCAAGAGGTATCAATTTGTTCATGCATATGCTATTTAGAGTTCCTTGGTGCAGTCTATATATATTTACATCTTACTCATACATTAAAACTGCAAATGATTAACAAGAAATTTTAGTGTGTGTATTTTGGTTATATCTCAGTTCTGACTTCTGAGTCATATAATTGAGGTAAAAAACATTGAACTTCCAACAAAAAAACCTTATTCGAAAAATCATTTTAGAGATTCAGAGCATTGTGAGTAGATATGAAAATGTATGCTTCTTCCTCTAACTGCTGACCGAAACACTTGATCTAAAGTGTCACTATTTTTACTCCTTCGTATTGAAGGGAGATATACATGATACTGACCAATTTTTAACCAAGTCAATGTAGGTTTTCTCTGGTTATAATTTTATCAATTTTACACTATAGTACTATTAGTCAAATCATGCAATGCAACAGATAAAAACGAACCAAATTTAATAGAGATGTAAATTACCTTTGGGACCACTCGGCTAATGTGTTGTCGCCTTGGCTACTGTCAATGAAAAACCGCTGGCCGGGCCTAAAACTGTCTTGTTGTACAACGTGATCCACACATTTTTGTCGATAAATGTTGGCCAAAACATTTAGAATCCGTCTGGATTTTATAAATATTCCGTTCAGTTTTAAGGTTTTATGTCTATGCCTAGATGATACGATGCATTTTGCTATTATCTAGATTTAATTTGTAAGTGTAGGCTGGGGTGCATAATTCAATAGTGATATAAAAGAGGTTCGTTCTTGATCGTCTTGAAATTCAAGAACTCAATCAAACGCTCAACAAGAATTGGAATCGACAATTAGCAATGTGAATCAGTTACCATAACATATTAAAAGAAGACAAACACTTGAATAACTAGAACAAGTTGTTATATTGCCATGACTAGTCGTACGTCCTCAGAATCAGAATTAGTATATTATTTCCACTGCTAGACACTGGGTGATAGGGTCTCCTTCATCTGCTAGGCTTGTCCAAGCCATTGGGTACCTATCAGGCCAAATATTGGTCATGATGCACCCCGAGGCTGTCCTAAGAGAACATTGCAACTTTTCGTGTAGTGCAGCTTCTGAATAGCCCTAACGAACGCAGGGACTCCTGAGAAGTCTTTAGCATCAGATTTGAATGTCCAGATAAGAGTGGTAGGAATAACTCTGTGTTAGATACCATTAGCAAATATATATCACATTTTTTCTTCTAGAGAGATGATTCTGGAATAAGTCCTAATTAATGTAGGTTAACACACGTATAGCTTTAGCTACAAATACGTATTTTCAGTTCCCACTAATATTTGGCAAAAATGACATCGGTCTTGCGATATGACAACAGTAAAGATTTCTTCTTTTACGAAGTCATGAGTTATTATAAATCAATCTTTAATCGATAATGCTTTGTCCACTTAACCTACCAGATGTTTTCGTAACGCTCTCTTTTTTATATGTGTACTTCTCCTTATCTATCGGCCAAAACTTTTAATTAAATATTAAAAACCCACAACACCGAGGTTTCACAAACAAGCGGACGTTAAAGAACGAATAATAAAAACCCACCAAGTCACCATCAGTTACAAACTTTTTTCATTTAAGGAAACGTCCACCTTCTAATGGCTTATTCGAGGAATCCTCACATAAAGATGAGAACAGATTCCAAAAGCTACTCGTATATTAAAGCCACCATTCAAACATAAGTGATGTATTCGGTAGACTAAATGTTTGCAAGTTTTTTTAGAGGTTTTTAGATTATAGTTTTTGGCTTTAGATTTTAGATTTTGGTTTATAGTTTTTTGTTTGTGTGTTAAAATATTTTTAAAAATTAAAACTAGAAAAAAATAAATTCAATCACGTTAACAAAATGAAAAACTGATAAAAGTGGATTTTAGATTTTCTTTGCAAATTGTCAAAAACCATCAAAATCTAGATTCCTTACTTTTTAGGAAAATCAATTTTCTCATAATCTTGATTAGGTATAAAGTAGATTTTTGTAGTTCTATGAAGGCGACATTAGCAGGACAATTCGTATACGGTTCAAGAGACAAAGCAGATCGGCCGCAGCCAAATTCACCACAATAAATAAAAAGTTATGAACTACGTACCAATCTTCACTTGGGTCCATATAAGGTACAAATATTTTGACAAATGACATTTGATAGGACTTGCCGGTAATATTGTTAACGTCTATATGTCGAAAATGAACGCTAGAGATAATGAAACTATCCTTCTTTTAATTTATTCGTATTCATATTTAAAAAAAAACTGTTACATGCATGAAGAGAAAACAGAAGAAGGATCAGTACAAAGAAGAGCAGTTTCTCAAACCAAATATGGTAACGAGTCTCATGGAGCACCAGGTGGATCCTTGTGTCCGATACCTTGGCTAGGACCTTGACCAGTTGGTCGGAATGCGGTTTGTTCAATGTTCTTGTATATATTGATCTTGAACGTTCCAAAATCATCCTTTGGGGTTGATGGTGGTGACCACTCGATGGAACTTGGCGGAGTAAACATTCTAATTGGTTTCCGCGCAGCTGTTGTAGTTTCAAAATGCAGATGTAACACAAGCAAAAATAGCACAAATAAGGATAAAGACACGATAGAACTATCACGTCTCACCATAATCAATAACTTAAAACTTAGATAAAACACTATATATATAACAATTTAAAT